GAGAGAGAGAGAGAGAGAGAGAGCAGTTAGTGTTCCCTGCTTGGGGACCGTCAGTAGACTGCCCCACCTGGGGGACCGTACGATCCCTATAATTTTTCATATTTTAGTAGATCTTTTTAATAAAATAAAAATATATTAATTAATTAATTAAGTTTTATATATATTTTCAATTATACTATTTAAATAAAATTTTTATTTAATATATATTATAATTATTTTTTCAAAATAAAAATAAAAATAAAATAAATGTATTAAATAATATTTTAAAAATAAATAATTAAGTTTAAATGTTTTAAATTAAAAATTATATTTACCAAAATTGAAAAAATAGTGTACTATTATTTTTTGGTCTAATAATGATATAAATTTAAAAATATAGAATAAATAAAATAATGTTTGTATAATTTTTGAAAATTTTTATTTAAATATAATCAATATCATGAAGTGGAGAAGAGAATCGCACTTAGAAGTTTAAATTTAAGTTAAATAAACTAATAAAGATAATGATGTGGCATTCACTAAATTTATACTATAAAATTTGAATAAAATTATATATAATGCTATAAATATATTCTTTTAGAATAGTATTTATTCACTAAATTTTTAAAATAAGAAAAAAACTCAAAACTATATTGTTTTAATAAAATATTATAAAAAAATTAAAACAATATTATTTATACTTTAAAAATATATTATTTTAATATTTTGTAATGAAAATCTATAATAAATTAATTTTAGGGTATTTTTCTCATAATTTTTTAAAAGTTCAACAACTAAACATTTTTCTTGATTCTCCAATGGGATTGTGCATTTTTAGGTTGATTTATAAGAAAAAAGTGTAAAAATATCTAAAAAATTATTTTATTAAGTGTATGCTTGGTCAAAAACATCTTTTAAAAACTAGTTTTCAAAAATTTTTAAGTCATCTTTAGCTTCTATAGGAGGTCTTTTGATATTAAAATTTGAAATTTTTACAAATATTTATCATTAGTTAAAAATATTTATTTTTCATATTCATATTTTTATAATGATGAATTTGATACAAGTTTAAAAGTTAAGAGATTAAATTGGTATTTTAACCATTTGTTTAAACTGCATGTACCCTCCATTTGCATCATTATGATAATAAGGGCACATGTTAATGGTACCATTTCATTATAAATTAGTATAAAAAAATATAAAAATTTATATTAATTTTAGTATTATTGTCATGAAGTTATATTTAATTGAATAGTTAATAATTTGGATATCAATTTTTATTTTTTTAATATAAATTTATTTTTAAAAAAATATTAATTACACTTTTAGAATACAAGTTAAAAAAATCCATAAAAAAGATTTATCTAAAGAGTACAAATTAATGATATAATAAAAATATATTATTTTATAATTAATTTACATAAAAATACAAAAATTAGTTTTTATTTTAACATTATTACAACATAAATAATTTTAATTGATCAATTAATTAAATTAAAATTAATATTTATATTTCTAATACAAATTAATTAGAAAAGGACGCATTTATTGTTACGAGAGAGGCATTGTAAAGGTGGTCAATTTCAAGCTAAAATAGAGGTACGCACGGGCTTTCCTTTTCTTTTGTGGTTGCCTGATCTATTTCTTCCCAACTTGCTTGTTGGGATGAGGACTTTTATTTTTATTTTTATATTTTAGACAATTGGGATGAGGACTTAGTTTTTGAATTGATATTGAGAAGATCGTCGGTATGGTTACGAGCTGGGTTGGATTATTTGCTTTTAGTCATCAATGGTCCCATCTGCCTTCTGTTTTGTGTTAAA